TGTTTTAATCCAAGAATATGGAACGTTTAAAGATATGATCAAGAAACGAATACAAACCAATTCATTATATCGAGGTAAAACCTTAGCGAATCGATATCTAAAGCTCAAACGACTTTTGCCTATTAGAAGAGAATGAAGATCTGATTCATTACGTTCGAGATTACGTCGAAAAAATCGTCTTTTCCAAAGATTACGCGTTTATCTTCAATCGTATTGCAATGGAAAACGAAGAACAGGATTTATCCATACAAAATCGTATCTCAGCACTCCATTGGATCACACCAGCTATGCTAGACGCAGTTCTCAACGAAAACATCACCAACGTACGAGAAACAATCTACAAAGCAATCAACGGTACACTTTCAGTCTTTCGGCAATCGTGATTGAGAGTTTTTCGATATTTTTTTAGCTTTGATCGAATTGGATTCGAAATCGACACCGCAAGGAAAAATTCATTCGATCATGGAATGTAAATTATTCATTGAAGAAGCTCTCCGAACAAGTAGCGAACGAACGATCAATGCTGACTGTTTTCTTCCTGCTTTGATCTATGTTGTCTTAAAAGCAAAACCACCGAGACTACACTCGAACATACGATTTCTCAGCGAATTTTCTCAGCCAAGTGGTGAACAACTTTACTATTTAGCAAATCTCGTACGTTTACACAGAATGAACAGTTCAGATCTAACCGAGAGGTGTTTTTTTTTTTTAAGGATTCCGCAGTTCGTTTTATCGAACAAATCGAAGCTGACCATCTTGGTTTATCGGTAAACGACTTTGATTTGTATATGCGTGGCGAACCTGTCTTACCGTCGAAATTCGTTTCACTGTTTGACTATCCGATGGAATACAATTCGATCAATGATCAATTGAGAAAAATGTCTCAAGAATATGCTGAGATCGAACATTATTCAGGAAAAATTGATGAAAATATTCAAGATTTAACTAAACATTTGACTCAATCGATCACAGATGTGAATGAATTATTAAATCATTCATATAAACGTTTCTCTCCTTTCGAACAAATCCCTTCATCAGTCACCGCTGAGCCAAATGAAGTAGCTGAATCACTCACTCAGTTAACAGTGAAATCTCAGCAGTCTTCAGACAGTTAAGCATCTCAATTTTCACTTCCGGTGTTTATTTTCATTGAACAGTGCATATATCTGTGTAGATTTGGTTTTTTTCGTCATTATATTCATATCATCTATTTTATGTGTTCTTTGTTTCTCAATGTTATATCGAATAAATTACACAGTATACTTATCCTTCACATTTCTTTTTTTCACATTGAGGTCAACCTAACGAGAGAAAAGTAAACGAGGAGTTTACTTGTTTTGCTCTCGATAATTACACAGATACTATTTCATTTCTCATCGAAATTTGATCTGACCTATCGTTCGTAAGTGATAGAGACAGAGAAATTTCGTTTCATTCACTTTGAATAAAAGTCGAACTTTGCAATGTGCTCGATTGTTCGGTTATCGACGTTGTTATTCGTCAGTTTTCTCATTTCTGAAACAAATAGTTTCTTATTCAAAAGTCGAACTTCAAAGATCAAAATCGGCTCGTTCAATCTACGTCGGTATTCCTATGCAAAAGCTTCACCAACCAATTCCGTTAACTCACACATATCAAAAATCCTCAAACGATACGATCTCATTTTCCTTCAAGAAATCATCGATACTTCCGCTGATAATCGCGTGGTTAATCTACTCTTACAACATCTTCATAAACAATCCAAATCCGTTAAATACGAATCGATCATTTCGCCACCTTTGGGTTCAACATCCTACAAAGAACGATTAGTTTATCTCTATCGTAAAAAATCTCCTCGAATACAAATACTTTCGTCTTATGTCTACAATGGATCAGCCAAGAATGTATTTGAACGTCCGCCGTTCATTCTTCAGATTAAATTAGCATCGTTTGGACCGATTATTTTCATTGGCGTTCATCTAAAACCCGACAATGTTTACGAAGAATTTTGTGCTTTACGAACAGTTGTTGATGAATTGAGAACAACTTCATCGGTGGTGTTATTTGGAGATTTTAATGCGGATTGTTCGTATCTAAACAATGCAAAGAAGAAAGAATTGCGAAAATCATATTTTAATGAATTTCAATGGTTAATTGATGATCGAACCGAAACAAATCTCCTTCAATCATGTTCATACGATCGAATATTAGTTTCCGAAGGTACTGGTCCGTGGAAAAAAGTTAACTGGAAAGCGAAAACAAACGGAACATTTGAATTCGATAAGAAGTTCAAGTTAACGAAACAACTCGCACTCCAAATTAGCGATCATTTTCCCGTCGAAGTAGATATTTATTGAAATATAATGAACATGTACAATCTTGTTCAACAGAACATTTAAGAAGAACAAACGAACGAAAGCAGAATAGAGAAAGTGTATTTGAAAAAAATAAATTTAAGAATCGATTACAAAGCTTCTTTTCGATAATGTTAATATTCATCTTTAACTTCCGAATGAACTAATTCTTTGCTGGAATCTGTACTTGTCGGACGTGTTTGCTTGTTTTTTAACTGTTCTTGTAACTGTTGCGTCCAAGTCATCATCGTATCAACTGGACGTTTTTGTGTAACTGGTAAATTGCCTTGTGGAAGAATATCCACAGCATAAACACGTTTTTCCTCCATTTGCTTTTCTCTTTGTTTTGCTAAAACAACGGCAGTGAATGACTGAATCAGTGCGTTATTGGGAGTTGTTTGTTGGTTTGGTGTGATGAAACCATTGGCTTGTGCGTTGCCCGTTGTATCATTTTGTAATTGCTCCGGGTTCCAAACTGCGTTCATAACGTGATAATTCACACTTTTACCTGCTTTACCGGGTATGGATACTTGTTCTTTAACAGTAGGATGTTCTTTATCGGGCGCGTTCGAGTCATTCATATGAACCTCATCGTCATCGTCATCATTGTCATCTAAACAGCATTTAAAACGGTACCAGGGACAACCAATTGCTGAGCAAATATCATCCCAAGGTAAATCAGATAAAGTTAAGAGCACGACTAAACCACACACCACGCCGAAAACGGACCAAAATGCCGCTGAACGTTGACCTTCGGTCGTATCTACTTTTGCTAAATAGAAAAAAGACAGACAAACATGAAATGATAGAGAAGTTCCATATTAACTTACGTGTTTCGCAATTAGGTCCATTGAAAAATATCGTTGAACAATCACATGTATAATTATTAAGCGCATCTTGACAAGTTCCACCATGCTGACATGGTGACGATAGACATTCATCAATTTCTTGATCACAAACAGTGCCTGTATATCCTGCTGGACAAACGCAAAGTTCGCGTCCAACATTTAAATAACATGTAGCATTATTTTTACAAGAATTATTTGCTGCGCACCGTTCTACCCACCGACAAAAAGAAAGAAAATGACAATCAAGTCAAGAAGGTTATTTCTTACCTTGATATTCGCATAAGAAGTTGGATAATTTACTGTTAACATCGTCAGTCACTTGATACGTGTTTGCACTTGAACTGTAAACTATTCGATAATTCGATCCATTACCAACAATCAATTGATCACTTGTATTGAAATACCACACTATGGCTTGTTTTGACCAACTCCATGTTCCTGAGGCAGCGACACCGTCTATCCAAAATTGAGTTTCGATACTCCAAGCTAAAAAGATTTGTCGTAAGGTCAAGCAAATAGTTCACAAATCATTTCCTAACCTTTCATCCAGTAAATAATTGCTGTTGGTTCGGGCGCCGATTCGAATGACGCGAGATGAGTGACGAAGCCTGTTTTATTCGTTACGATCGAGTTGGAATCATTGAGACAGTATTGTTGTGCATCAGACCATGTCATTTTTGTTCCATTATTTATCTTATAACATCCATTCAAAATGGAATAATATGTTGATGGACAAACGATATTTCCACCCGCAGTAAATGAATTCGATAAAACATTTACAAAGATGAGAAACGACTGAAAATGAAGAAGAGATTTTCGGAAACATTCAACTGATATTCACTTACTAGCAACGACATTTGATGAATTTTGTGTGAGAAAGTATAAGAAAAAGAAAAGAGAAGAGAATAACTTAAGTCAATCGTTAGTAGTTGTTTGATGTCCCTTGTCGATGCCGTGTAGGCACGTTCCAAGACCGAATGGAAATGAATAATAAAATAGCAGACAAATTCTGTCGATATTTTTTCTTTCTTTCTCTCTCTCTCTTTCCCTTTTTCTCACACTTGAGTCCAAGAAATTGATGAAATAGCGAACAAATGAGAATTTCCGTCATTTTCTTTTTTATTTCTATGCGTACCATTGTCATTATCGATTGAAGAGGGAGGAAAGAGTAGAGAATAGTTTCTCACCATTATATCGTTAAAATAAATAAAAAATTCTGTTTTTTTCTTCTCTAGTAAAATGTCATAAGATATCAATGAAGTGATATTTAACAGAGAACGAGGAACCTTAAAAGTTTTTCTCTCTAACGAACATTATATTCTTGAAATGATAATTGAAGGAGAAGAGACAAAGAAAAATCTGTAAATTGCTTTCCAAAGCATGATAATTTATATTTAACTAATGTATTTTTCTTCCACGGAAAAAAATCTTTTATGATAGAAGTAAATATCTCAACAACACAATACGTTAAATAGAGAAGATTTAACTTTTGATCGTTATAATTATTCGAATTGTTAAAGATTATTTCATACAGACTGTTTCTTCTATTTGAAGAAGTTTCTAATGAATATCAAATGTAGAGAAATACTAATTATATCTACTCATCAAAGAGTATTACTTGTTTCGATCATTATACCACTGAGTAAAAGGATCTATAGTCTTCGATTTGTTTATTACAGATAATCGATGATAAGAATGTATTTTTTTCATAAAACCTAACATGATTTAACATTTGATAAATATATATTAAAAAAAAGAGAAAACGACAACAAGTGATAAATCCCAACTAAAATCTTCCGAGAAGAAAACCGATGATATTCTATTTTTGCAATGCTGAAACACCTTTGAAACCAGTCTTTTGAGTCATGTTGATCTTATCACCCCTACAAACAAAAATAATCTTCATTAAAGTCTTAAACATCATTCCGAATAACTTACATGGACAAAGCCATGCCTTGACTTTTTGCTCGAATACGAATATGTCCCGTCACGGGTGCATCAGCATGTATGGCTGACTTTTCGATACTAATATTTGATAGAACATCTTCACCAAAGATTGATTTAGCATAAAGATTTGCTGCCATAAAACCACAATCGCCTGACAAAGCTTTTTCTGGTGTTAAACAACGCATATTTGTTGATTTTAATAGATAAGTTAAATAAAGGTGGAGATCACGTATAGTTGTATTGACAACAATCTTATTTTCCCATTCAAATTCGATCCACATTTGACGGAATTCATTATCTGTGCACGTTGCAGGAACAATATAATCCATAATATCAATATGAATATCATTGAGAACAACACAATTACGATCNCTTTGATAATCAAATCGATATAACAAGAACTTGCTGCGCGGACAGCTGTTGGTGCACTAGACAAAGTGATCAATGTTCCAGCCGCTTCATAACGTACAGCTTGTGATGATGAATTTAACAAATTGTAGATACATCGAATAAATCGTGCACGTTCATTGGGATTGCTGTGACAAACTTTGTAGATAAGTTCAACGATAACTAATTGTAGAATATCACCGAATGAATTTACTTGATCAATAACGTTGGAAAGATAGTTCAATGCACGTTCTTGATCAACATGAATTAGCATCATGAATGCATTTCGACGACATGACATATCTTGTTCGACATCGAGAAATTTACCGATTAATTCTGGTGCATCGGGAATAAGAAAATCGGAATTCTTGTAAATTGTGAAGATCGCCAAGACAGCATTACGACGAACATAGGCGTGACGATATTCGAGACAAGCACGAATTGATGGCATTAGAGGTTCGAGTAGTTCGGGTTCTTTGAGTTTACATAAGAAACGAAGTGTTGAACCACGAATAAATTCATTTGGATGTTGAAGATCTTTTCGATAAGCGTCACAAACTAGAATCATTTCTTGAAGAAGTTTGCCATCTGCTGTATGTTTAGGTACAATTTCCCAGAACACGAGTAAAAGTTTTTTAATTGTATGATCTTGTGATGGCATTACATAACGGATGATGATCATTAATAATGATGGGAATTTTTCACCATTCAACATCATGACAATTAACTTTTTTAATGCTTCAGCTTTTGCCTAGAAGAGAAAGATTTGAAACGAAGGGCGATGAGGAAAAACAACAAACCTTGTCGTTGCCTTTTTCAAGATCTTCACGTAACTGCATTTCACTTGGTGGTTCCAGATCTTGACTGGTATTGATCAAAGTGTAACAGGGTTGTTCAGCAACAGTCATTTTCACTTGTTTTTCTCTCTAGATCTAAACAGAAGATGTAGATGTATCGTTTCAACACAGATATTTAAATGATGTTCATGAACAACAAAACAAAACCTATGGGTTCGTACATCGAATTCGATGGATCTGAGTAAACAACAGTGGTGTATGTTGTTTTAAGAGAAAAAAAATGGTAATAAATAACATACCGTTACTGTTGTCGTTGACGTGGATCATTTCCAAGAGCCAATACAAATCGAATATTGTACTATAGATGTCACTACATGATTGTTCTCTCAAACTCGATGTCGATCGCGTTAAAATCAGTATTTCTCGTTCTTCACTTTATCCACAATGGAATTATCAATGGTCATTCCATTCGATCGCGTATCATCTATTTCGGTTTGTTATTTTCCTTCATACAGCACGACTTTCTCAAAATTTGATCGTAATTCTCGATATTCAACAGAACCAATAACTATTGCTCATGAATCTCTAGCAAACAAAAAACGATCATACATTTCGTCGCGAGATGATGTTGCTTTCTTCTCTATATAGAACTGCTACGCTGTCAGAACCTTACAACGATCTATTTCCTTCACCTTCTTCGATCAGAATCTACCACATTTACCTGATGAAGAATCCGATGCCATCTATCAGCAAAGTTTCATGTGGAACCTGGTGACTATAAGTCAAAGTTAACTTTTTCTGATCTTTTGCAGAGGAATATATAACCAATGAAGATCTGTATTCTTGGTTTACACCAATCGATCGAATCGAAAACTATCAATTCATGGAATCAAAAAAGACCACGACTACAAATCATCTCAGTTGAAAATGCGAAATGTTGCGGTTTTCTTCTGACAATTTCTTGTATTCAAGAATAACAAGATCGATTTCTAGAAAAAATATTTTCGAATCATGATGATTCTGTACCGTTTGGGTGTTGGTCAACATTCAAATGCGTTCTTCTACCATCATTTGGTTTATCTTCAATTTATGATCATTTCCATTATGATACAACATGTTTTGATTGTATTGAAGTTCAGTATTCGTCGAAGTTTTGGATACCAGCGATTCCAATTTCATATGACGATCTATACCTTGCATTTGAAAAGGCTGATGCTGTGATATCAATGGAACGAAAGCTTCGAGATCTGTATATCTGTGAAAATGGCGAAAGCGATCCTCAACCGAAGAAAAAATGTATTCTATTTCAATCGATTTGTGACGGACATCTTCAGCTATTATCAAAATCGATTGCTGGACAAAATGAAAAAACTAATGGACGTCAACGTGTTTCGATTCGTACTGAAATGATTCATACGTTTACCCAGTGAGAAAATAAATGATGACCATATCGATTGTCTCGGTGTGATTGATGAAACAAAAGTATGCGATGGAGATTTCTACTGCTGGAATATATTTTAACATTACACGTCTATTTGACAACTGACAATGTCACGTCTTCAAGTGAACAACAGTTTATTTCGGAAATAAACGAAAAACCAAAAACTACAGAAAAGACTCTGGCTATACATATATGATGAGGAGGGAAATATTCCAGTATATGATATTTCCAAAAGCAAACAAGACAACAATGACACCTAGAGAAAGGAGATGTCCCAACGATGTTACTATATCACAGACAAGGTTCTAATTTAAAGTATATTTGTCTTGAATTCAATTTGCTTTCAAATCATGAAATTTCCACTCGAGATTATTCAGTATTGGAAACGCATGTTTGAACCCTTAAGTAATATACGAAATCCAGCAATGTACATTTTTTCTCTGCTCATTACTTATAGAAAATATCCATCGAGAAAATTATTTCAAAACAAATTTTATTTGTTAAAAAGATATCATGCTATCGTGGACTTCTTCAACACTCTTAGTTGAAGAAATCTGACTGAGTAAGACATGTATTTGTTCATATCAAAGTGAACGAATAATTGAGTTTATATCTGCTGTTTCAGGCATTTTCCGATTTTCGACAAACTCCATTCGAAATAATTATTCAACTGATCGATGATAGTCATGAAAGAACCGTTCATTTGCATTTCAAATTAACTGATTTATTCGTCAGAGATTGTAAATCGAAATCATAATTTATCGTACGAAAAAAAAGAATTTTGCAATCCGTATTAATATCTTTAAGAAGCACCGATTAAATTACCGTGGAAATTTATGATTTCCGATCGTCAATACATGTTTACCCGTCCATCATCACAATCGTACACACACATGTATCCGTGCGAAAGGCTTTGGTAGCAATCATTGTTAATATGAAGAGAAATTCGGTTCAGTACGAACCATCTTTCTTCGAACTAAAAAAAATATTATTAGGAAACGAAATTATTATTGATTGACTGAACCGTTCTCTATTGATCTGATTCATTCAATGCGACTTTTATTGAAGATTTGGACAAGAACTATGATTTTCTCACCACTCAAAACGAGATGTTTGAAGAAGTGAGATTGACCAGACATATGAACTTATCCGATCGCTGTCCTCACATGAGCGAAGTATTCAATCGAATATACACACGTTCACTTACATCATTGCTTATCGTTTCCTTCGTTGAGTTTGAAACTGTTCAAATCTGATGAAAAGTATTTATTTGAACATAAATCATAATCTAAGTTAAACAATAACAATACTAAAGCAAAATCAATTGATATAATGTGGCATATCTATCGATATATGTGATCACAGTATATCGAATAAGTCATAGAGCAAATATGAATTTTAAAGCAATTTGTTGACAGTGACAGGAAATGAGAGCATGGATCTGTATTTGCACACGGGAAATATATCAATCGAAATGCCGACACTTACTAGTTTTTTAACTTTTTCATATTAGTTGAATTTTTCTATGGATCTAAAAATGAATTTGTTAGTTTCATGAAGAATAAAGTTTCCACATCGATACATACCATTGATGATATTCGCGATTCTATCTTCGCTGAAATACTCCATTAAGGCATCAAACTGTTTCTTTTGTTCAACTAAAAAGAAACAGAGTATTTAATAATGTAAAATACATGAAACGAATGGATTACCACCACTGGCTAGTGCATTTCCAATTTTCTGACGAAGTTTTCTTAAATCCATTTGTATCTCAACATGTCTGTCAAAGCAAAACGAAAACTACCAATGGACGGACAGCAATCTAAATACTTACGTCTTTAATCCACATAAACTTTTATTTCGTTTGGTGCCATTCAATTTTTCAATCTCGTGTATGTCGTTCAATGCATCTTGAACAAAGTCACATTGTTTTATTCAATAATTCCAAATGATGTTACCTACCTTCCCATTGAAACCGATCAGAAAAGAGTTTAGCACGATCAGATAAATATTGGATCCTTTCCGATTGCTTGCATTCGCCCTAGTGGCGGCGCCAAGGGGGGGCGAGGGGGGGCTGAGCCCCCCCAAAAACTGTTTGAGCCCCCCCAGATTTTGAAAATTTTTTGGTACAAACTGATAAATTCTTGTAAAAAATACCAATTTGTGGGGGCTGAGCCCCCACAAAAAAATTTTGGGGGGGCTGAGCCCCCCCAAAGTGAAAATCCTGGCGCCGCCTCTACTTATACTCTATACTATATGCTATCGTCGAGTTCCGAAGTTTCACGCGGCGGAGATGCCGTTTGTTGCTCATATGCTGACTGTAACGATAATGATATCGTTCATCTCTTTCTGTTCTTTATTCTCTCACCTCTATATCATACTATCTCCAGGTCATGTAGAGTAGTCAATAAACATCGATACCGTGAGAAGCGGTCAGCTACTCAACCAGTTTGTCGTTACACTGACATGACGGGGTACTTTTAGCTTCTAAAGTTTTTTTTTTGGATATATTGTAGTTCAAACAAATACCGTCTTTTACTGTCCCAGATAAATTAAATATTTCAGTGCTTAGAATATTTTTAAATCTCTGAATAAATGAAATATTATCGAAATCGTGTCACAGTGTTGAAGTACAAAATGGATAAAGACGATGATAATTTAGGTAACGATGGCCTACTAACATATATATATATATATATCTATATATATATATATATTCCCTTTTCTGAAAGAAAGGGTTATACAGCGTTTAAATGCTGTGTTAAAAAGCTTAAAGTTTGTCTGTCTGTCTGTCTGTCTGTCTGTCTGTCTGTCTCCCACGAAAAAATTTTTCGATCAAAACCGCGGTAGATCACGGTGCGAGAGGGCGTTGGTGTCAGCGGTTTAATTGAACCGTGAAAGTCAGACCTTTTATTAGGTTTTCTCACACCGGCCGAAACCGCGGTTTGAGAATACCGCGGTTATTAATGGTTTTTTCGAAAAAAAAGTAATTCACCATCATGGTGGTATATCATCTCTGCCGTCTATCTCATTATCATCTACTATCTTCACATGGTCATTTCACACCTCGGTCAGCTCATTAGATACCACTTCCTATNGTTATTAATTGCACCTGTGGTTTTATTTCATGTTACATTACCGCGTTTAATTCTATCTTATTTATCGAAATGTATGAATTCAACACGTGATTCAGTATTATTTCTTTGTGGATATTTCATTTCATTTCATTTATTCCACCAATAATTACTTTTATGATTTTTGTTATTCCATCAGAATTTTATAGAAAAGAATATCAAAAGTCAATAACACAATATCGACAACGAATTCAACAACACCTTCGACGAACATTTTAAATATTAGGTTGACAACTAAGTTTTTGCGTTTTTTTTAAATCTTATTTTTATTTTTAAACTTTAAAAAGATAACTAGCATTCAGTTATATATGTACCACTATTATCATCCCACGTTTGTAAAAGTCCTGAGGCTTTTGGTCACAGAACTTGACAATGCCCATTTTCGCATTGTTCTCGCCCTCGAACTTTTTCTCACGCAAGTGATGAGACAGAGACCGAAAGAAATGGTAATCAGTTGGTGCGAAGTCGGGAGAATAAGATGGATGAGGAATGGTAATCCATCCGAGGCTTAATAATTTTTCACAGGTCGACTTTGCAACATGGGGTCTGGCGTTATCGTGTAAATAGCAAATTCGATCCTGCTTCCTCTTGAGTTTTTCTGCAACTCAATCCAGTTGTTGATAGTATAGGTCAGCAGTGATAGTCCAACCATCAGGTAGAATTTCCCAGTGAACAATTCCATTGACACCTCACCAAACACTTAACATCACCTTCACAGGGTGTAGAGCAGCCTTTGGTGTTGCTACGCCTGTTTAACCGCGACTTAGCCATTGACGTCTGTCCGTGTAGTTAACATACAACACCCGCTTCTCATCACCAGTGATAAGATCGCGTGGCCATTGATAGTTACGATGAGATGACATTAAATCCATACAAGCATCGACCCTGCATTGGAGCTGCTGTGGTGATAACTCATGAGGTATCCAAACTCCATGTTTGCATCTCTTGCCTGATTCGTTCAGATGTTTTTCCACCGCAGTATGTGAGCAGCCAAGCTGCTCTGTTAAATACCGTGGGTCAGTCGAGGATCTTGTTCGATGAGCTGCTTTAAAAGATCTACACCCAATTCTAATGGTCTACCGGATCGAGGTAAGTCGTCGAGTTCTAAGTTACCGTTCTCAACGCGATTGAACCAATGTTGTGCTGTACGAATAGAGAGTACATCATTACCCATCGTGCTGCATATGTTGTGTGCTGCTTCCGTTGCGTTGTGACCCAAACGGAATTCATGAAGCAAAAGCACTCGGAGCTTCCTGCGTGATATCTTCATGTCTAATTCGAGATCAACATCCATTAGGCATGTACCAGTACCACTCAATACCGTCAATACTAAGCTAATACCAATACCAAATACCAAGAGTATTGATATTGGTACATACCTAACATCCGTATCCACAAGTAACGCTCGTCGAGGCAGACTCACTTAGCTCTTTCTCGTAGAAATATCGCTTGCGGATGTTATATTTTTAATGCATTATTGTATATATAAGTTTATTTCCAACATAGATTAGATATTTTCAAGAAATACCAATACAATTAGAAACATTATGGATGATGACATCAAAAAACGAAACAAAGAAAACACGATAGGCAATATCTGGTACAACGGCAGAAAAACCGACAATTATATAATAATTAACATAAGTGTAAATAGAGATAAGGGAAATGAACATTTATAAATAATTATTTTAAGATGATTTCAAATTATATTACGTTTTATATGCCTACCATGAAACTAGACTGTTAGCAAAGTATCGATTTACACATATTTACGAAATGAAAGAGGCACACTCTCGTTTTGTCTTTTTGTCAAGTTCATCTAAACGTTTCAGTTCAGCGCCTTGAGCAAGAGAAGGTCGTACTTGTAGAGCCTTTATATCAAAAGATCGAACAATGACTATGCCTTCCGCTCTCTTCACTTTGCTGAGTGGTACATATACTCACGTCATTTGCAATGTCTGAAGTGGAACTTGAAGATCGACTACAATTTTGTTCATTGTGAGTTCTTGCGCTTTATATGTAGTTCTCAGGTTATTATGGCACGGTCGGTTCCGGCCGGTTAGGTTCGTTTTCCGACCATTTCCTTGCCGCCGAATTCCGGCCGGAAGTTCAAACGTAGGTTCCAGTCATTTCCCGGCCGTTTCCTGCAAACTTCGAGCTGGAAACGGTCAGGAACCTGCCGGAACTTGCTGGAATCGGCGAAAACTGTGCCGGAATCGAGAAGAGCTGTACCGGAACCGACTCAGATTTCAATGGATCCAGTCGCCGGAATGATCGACCTGGGGCTCGTCTTTTCGTCATTGGTAAGTTTGGTTGTGACATGGAGTGTTCACATTTTATGTGAACATACTTGGGATACTCTTGTTTGGTAGTAATACCTGATGACATTAAAGCTGAATAATATTGTAAAGCACAATCTTCAAACAAAGGCAAATCTCACTCAATAAATACGTTCATAAATGTTTGTATATATATACATATATGCGTGTGGATGCGTCTGTTTTGCACGTCAAGAGAGATCAATAGCCTAGTTATTCAAATCTATCATGACCGATAAACTTAAATCGCGAAGAAGCAATATTAGTCCTTTCTTTAACGTTTTCTGCGTTCTTTCATGTTATTTCAATTATTTTTGATGGTGTCTTTTTTGAACATCCAAACAGAAGAAGGTATGGAAGTTAATAAAAGCTGATAACGAGTCTTATAATATTCAATAAGTCTTTTTCTTATCTATTTCTTGTATAATATGGGAATCCTACAAAGCGTCAAATCATGCGAAAGATGGAGCCACATTTTCAATTTAGCAAATTTTGTATTATATTGAAAGTTAATTCAAGATTTTGTATTTATCTCAATCTTTAGAAATAAGAGTCATCATGCCAGAATAAACTGATTCGTTTTAATTAAATGACAGATCTTTTTTTCGATTTGACTTATCTATGATCTCATTCCATGAAACAGAAAACGATCATACGTTTCTTCGCGAAATGATGTTGCCGCTTTCTTCTCTGTATAGAACTTCTATGCTGTCAGAATAACGACACTACCAATACGTATGCGAAAAAAATGTAATCGATCAAGCATAACAATTTCTTATTTTACGTCTAGATACACTATACGTATAGAAATATGGTGAATATTGTCAATTTTCGTAACCGCTCATACGAACACATTCTTTCTTACGATAATGCGTCGTTTGTTACAAGGAATAAGACAGAAAAAAGACCTGAACGATTTAATTTCTTCACCTTCTTCGATTCAAATCTACCATCATATTCCATTCCCATTAAATGATCTTCTTGGTGTCCTCTACCCATTATTTGGAAGTTATTATCCATTTGAAGAATTTCTTCACATGATTTACACAGTTCATCACATCTTTTGTGCATATGATATCGTACAGAATCGTTGCGTCGGTTGTGCATTACTCAATAATACGGATAATACTAATCAAAGCATTTACATTATGCTGTTTGGTGTTCAACAAACAAATCAAAATCAAGGCGTCGGTACTTATTTGCTACAAACAGTAATCCAATGGGCGCATCAAGCTGGCTATCAACATATTCATTTAGATGTTTTTGTTGAGAATTATAAAGCCATTGGTTTATATGAAAAAGTTGGTTTTCAAAAATATAAATTCTTACCAAATTATTACATTCATACGTCGAAACGTCCTCCACATGCCATTCGAATGGTTCTTTCATTCGTATAATTCACAACAAATGTCACTGTGATACCGCTTATGTTCCTTTTCTCAATTGAACATATACCAAAAAGGAGATACTTGAATCATAATCGAGACACAACAAAAAAAAAGAACAAATTCTCATATACAATAAAGAAAAGAGTTTTTTGTTAAAAAAGATCTTCTGTCACAACATATGGAAAGTTATATAGTCGTGACTTGATTCACACTCATTGGCAAAGCATGTTTTACTTGTTCTCGTGTGAAAAAAAGACCATATCTTTGAAGATAGTCTTCAGTTCAAAGATTGAATGAGATTGCCGATCATATTCGATAACTGTACAGTTTTCAGACTTATGAGGAGAAGTTAGCAGAGTCTGTGATTGAGTTTGTGTATAGACAGTTGTTGTACTGCATTGTTGATTGATAAATTGCATTTAAATACTAAAATGGATACTCAAAAAAGGAAAAGAGAACAAGAACAGTTTGATTATTGTTTTCGAGTTCGTATACATCGAGTTATTCTGCTCCAATGAAAGTGGTGTATGTGAAAAGAAAGAAATTATGTTTGTTCAATAAATTATTTAACGTAATTGTAATAAGATGTTCATTCTTTTTATTGAAATACTTGTTTATCATTATAGGAATCTCTTTTCTCTTGTTTGGCTTTACATATCATCTCTCTTTTCGTATATAATGAACCAAGTGTTATTTACTTGGAACACCTTGCTTCTGTTTAACATTCAATAAATCTAACGACTAAAAACGACACTTCAGCGAGAAAGAGCTGAATCAGTTTGCTTTTTTTTTCCTTTGATAATTTGTAAGATTTATCAAAAATAAAGATAGTGATCAAGTCGTGCATAAATTTCATTCATTCTGTAAAATAGAGTGATAAATAACAAGGGTGAGGGTGTTCGGAAATGTATTTTTGCTTGCCGATTTTGTACCAGACTCGAGAATGGCGAATTTTGGGAATTTATTCTTTAATGGAAAACATGATGAATGTGCTCGTCGTTTTTTTATCTCTCCCTCACCGTTCAATGTGTGAATACGAGAAATGTAACAAATAAGCTTGAACATTAGATAAATATTTTGACCAAATGCACATTCTTACTTCTTCCCAACTCGTTAAAGTGTTCGATACATGCTATCAAGTTTTTTGTTTATTATTTGAATATGTATGCAAGGAAGATTCGCATTTACAGTAAAAAAAAAGAATTTGCGTTAAAAAATCTTCTATCACAACGTATGGAGAAAAACAATATTCATGAATGAATTCATACTCATTTGCAGATCATGTTTTATTTATTCTCATTGGAGAAAAGTCCATATCTTTGAAGATATTCTTGAGTTTCAAAAGACAAACTTTTGTTCGTGATTTGAGGAGGTGATGGTTGTGGTTGTGTAGTGGATGCAGTTGCTTGAGATGATCGATCGCATTCGATAGCTGCAGCTAACTGTTCATCTTCGAGATATTTCATTTCCAAGGCGTGAACTTCAATCGAAAGGTTATTTTCAGACTTTTGAGGAGAAGTGAGCAGAGTCTGCGATTGAGCTTGTGGGTAGACGGTTGTTGTACTGCTTTGTTGATTGATAAATTGCATTTGAATACCATTAGATGTGAAACTAATTCCAGTTGTTTTAGTTGACGTGACATGTTGCTGCTGATGAATGGAATTGTTGGAGTCAGAGATAGTTATGGTATCTTCCTCGTTTGTTATTGGTAATACAACAGCAGGTGGACTGTGTGCTGATTTTTGCTGTTGTTGTTTATCAATGTATTGAAATATAGGCTTGAGAATATCGACAGATCTATGATTGGGATAAGTTGGTGAATGATCAATTCGTGCTCCAGGAGAAGATAACTAAACAATGAAAGTAATATTTTTCAAGAAAAAAGGTAGACTGAAGTACTCTTACATGATTCAACGTGGTGTTGATTCCTAGTTGTTGTTGTTGTTGGTACTGCTCAGTATTTGGTGATTTGATAATGAGTTGCTTTGTTTGATCAGTTAGTAGTGATTCATAAACGTAAGGTGACGATGGTTCACTTTGTACGCCAACGTGTCGTTTCGAACATTCTTTTTTTGGTGTTGTTCGTAGATTTTGTTGTTTTTGTTCGTTTAAAAGTTGATGAACAAGTTTCGTTAATGCTAAGAAATGTGCTTCATACGATTGCATTCGTTCGATTAATTCCTCTTTCCACTGTTTATCACCATTATCGTTCACTGGTGCTGGAGACCAGATTTGCTTTGATTTTGGCGAAGCACATGATGATTGAGATTGGCGCTCAGGAGTCAACATAGGTGCTGTTGTTATCATATCCCAAGAGGGTTGTTCGTGAGTAGTTTGCTTAGGTGGTGAACGAGGAAAACCAAATAAACTTCCATTGGTATTTGGAGACGAGAGAATCGCTTGATAACTGTCGAAAGGAATGTCCGTAGAAAAAGCTGGAATATTGGAAGCTTCAGGAATCAGTTGAAATTCAAAATCGTAAGGAAATTCTGTACTGCAATTAGCATTCAATTGATGTAATGGTAGACTAATTTGTTTCGAACATCTCCATCGATCGTACTCAATGGTTTTTATCGGCGTTGACCCTACAGGTATTGGTTTAACTTCATAAAAATCACACTGTCCACGTGTAGTTGACAGATAACATGCCAATAGAAATGGTGTTGCTCCAGATTGAAGACGCTGTTTTAGTGATAAATTCATACAATAGCGAAGACACACTGCCCATACAAATGCACATTGAATATCGGTTATACCAGATATCCAACTAGAATTAATCATGACAATTAGATTTTGAATATAAACAAACATTTTCTTCTTACATTCCCACTAATGGTAATCCATATGCTTGTGGATCATTCTCAAGTAATAATAAAATTTTCTTGTTTGACATACGATCTAAACTACAGTAACCGAAATGAGCTTGAGTTTTATAAACACTATTTTCTGTTGATGAATTGAGACTTTTCAACAAAGCTGTTGGTAAGATTTGAACAGAAGCAGGATTAATTGGTGTTAATAGAAAACTATTTTTTACTGTTAAAAGATCAAACGACATATCGATATTTACAGGAGAAGAATAGTTCATCGACATTTGACCATAAAGATACGAAAACCGATGTAATTCAATTGGAACTGATAAGTAACAATAATTATTTATATCCTAAAAGCAAAAACGTACAAATACGGTGCCTTTCACAACTTCTCTTACCTGAATTGCACTTTGAATACACGAATTGAACATTGCGGAATGTTTAGTATCACATTGAATAGGCACCTGAAATTCTCCAGTGATTAACTGATGATGAGCAACATCATTTGTTAATAAAAATCGATCAATGACATAAGTTAAGCGTTGCGATTCATCATCGGATATTAAGGTCGCAATCAACAAGATTGTCGTCGGATTTTTTATTCGAACTATCGATCGAATAACTTTGTCTTCGATAATTAATTGTGGTGATAGATTTTCATTTTGACATAAACGAAGATGAAGCGATCGACCGATTGGTGTTGAGTTCCAATACAATGAAGAAGTCATCGCTATTTACATCTGAAAAGAAAATAATTGCGAAAGGAGTACGATTGTATAATGTCAATTTATCAATAGTCATATGCAACTGTGAAAAAAACTTGTAACTCGCTGCATCTGCACACTGAATTCGTAACAAATAACAAAATTCCTTTTGAAATTCGATCTGATCTTGTTAATAAAAGTATTTATTTATCTTTGTCCTGAAAATTTTAAGAAACACATGAGTATCTGCAAAAGTTTTGTTCATAGTGTCTCGATGAATCTGACGTTATCTTATGATGTTTTGTTCGATTGTTGTGAATGAAATTTTCCATTAGTTGCAGCAGATAATGAATTACATCCATTAGAATTTTGCTAAAACGATCAAAAACAAGCAGATATGATTGAATATTTAAGTCGAATCACTCACTGAAAGTGCAGACGAGAATAAATTTAATTTATCCGACGATATTCGAGGTAGAACATATCGATGAGCATGAGGTTGAAAAGTAGTTGCAATATTGTTCAGTAAACTTCCTGTTTAACGAAGAACGAAACAGATTAAGGAATTCAATTTGAGAAAAAAAAAACTCTTTCTTATATGCTGATTCGTTTATCTCAATCTTTCTCGAATGAATATAACATATGTTTTTTGAAATTAACGTAAATAATTAACAAAAAGTCTAACATGATCATAGAACTAAGCAGTTGATATGATGAAATAATTAGAAAATTTAGCGAGTGAAAAAAAAACGAACAAATTCAGAAAAAAAGCAACTCGAACGAGATGAATTTATTGATTTCCTTATCACCACTCGGCATCAGTCGCCATCCTAGTACCATCGTAATCGCCACTCGAATTTAGATTGTTGTTGATATTGCAATTTTGTGAATAAGGATTCGCATTTGGATGAAC